ATAAATGGAGAAAAGATTGAAGTTGTCAAGGACTTCATGTTACTTGTTTCTACAGTCATCACCAATGGAAACAGCAGTCAAGACATCACACAACATTCCATTGGGCAAATCTGCTGCAAAAGACCTCTTTCAAGTGATGAAGAGCAATGATGTCTACTTGAAACTAAGGTGCACCCAACCCAAGTCATGGTATTTTCATTCACCTCTTATGCATGTGAGAGCTGGACAATGAATAAGGAAGACTGAAGAAGAGTTGATGGTTTTGAGTTGTGGGTTGGAGAAGAATGCTAAGAGTACCTTGGTCTACTATAAGGACTAACAAATCTTTCCTGTAAGAAGTGCAGCCAGAATGCTCCTTGGAAGTGAGAATGACCAGACTTTGTCTCACCTACCTTGGTCAGGTTGTCAGAAGGAACCATTTCCTGGAGAAGGATATCATGCTTGGTAAAGTGGAGGGTCAGTGAAGATATCTATCTCAATGAGATAGATAGACAAAGTGGCTGGAATAATGGGCTCAGATACAGCAGGGATTGTGAAGCTGGCCCAGGATGGGGCAGTGTTTTGTTTTGCTGTGCATAGGCTTGCTATGAGTCAGAGATGACTTGACAGCACCTAACAATAACAACAATTAAAGAGAAAGGTTTGATATAGGTGAAGGGATTTTAAAGTAAATAAATTAGACTTGGTTCCATAGGAGCTCTAGTGGCATAGTCCCTAAGACATTTGACTGTTAAACATAAGGCTGGTGGTTCAAACCCACCAGGCACTCCTCAGAAGGAAGATTAGGCAATCTACTTCCGTAGTGATACCACCTTGGAAACCCAAGGAGGGGTCGCTATGAGATGGAACTGACTCAACAGCGATGAGTTTGTTTTTTTTTTAGGTCCCATAGTCTTATTCTTATATTTATCTTCAAGACCTTTACGGTTTTAGCTTTACTTTTTGGGCCTTTGATTCATTTTCAGTAAGTTTTGTGCATAATGTGAGATACTAGCTTAGAAGAGAAAAAGGCAGGTAATTAGTCATGTAATTAGTCATGTAATTAGATGAACATTATTATGACTGTTTCATGAGTGTTTACAGGATGAAATAGTTGATGAAATTAGAAGGCAAAAAATCTCGATGTCTACAAATTTTTTCTTTAGTTTGTAGGTATACAGTCTTATTCTGCATTGCTTTATCAAAGTTTGGTTATTTGATTTGTTGGTTGAACCTATATAATTTCTGTTTTTGTAGGTAAAATGTGGCTTAACATTGGCAATTTTAGGTGATTTAATGTAACACTAGTAGATTGTTAATATAATTGAAAGTTGAAAGTAGATTCTGTATAGAAAAAGTGGTCTGCTGCAAAGACTAATATGATGCCACATAACTTCTTTCCCTCCTTACTTCATATAGATTAAGTATGTGATAGTGGGAATTACACACTGTGGCATAAATGTACAGCGGGATGCTACTCAATAATAAAGAGGAATGAACTATTGATACAAGCAACAATATGGATAAATCTCAAACTCAAGATCTTAAGTGAAGGAAACCAGACAAAAAAAGAATATTCTGCATGTAATATAGATTGTTTTGTTTAGCTCTTCAGCATCTTTGTTGAGTTGATTTCCAGTTCTATCTTTCATTGAAAGTGGTTTATTAAAATCTCCCACTATGACTGTGGAGTTATCTATTTGCCTTTTCAACTCTGATTTATGTATATTGAGGCTCTTTCATTGGGTCCATAGATATCTATTATGGTTATATCTTTTTGTTCAATTGATTCTTTAATCGTTATATAACATCCTTCCTTGTCTCATATGGTGGTTTTTTGTCTTAAAGTCATTTTGATCAGAAATTAATATTGCCACTCCTGCTCTTTTGTGGTTGCCATTTGCTTGATATATCTTTTTCCATCCTTTGATTTTTAGCCTATTTTTGTCTTTGTCTCTAAGGTGTGTCTCTTGTAGACAGCATATTGGTGGGTTATGTTTTCTTATCCAATCTGCAACTCTCCGTGTCTTGAGTGGTGCATTTAATCCATTAACATTCAGTGAATTATCGACAAGTATGAATTGGTTACTGCCATTTTGTTATGTGTTTTTTTCGTGTGTTCCTGGTTTCTTTGTTCCATATACTTTTCTGGCTGAGCTCGTTATGTTTATGAATTGTGTTATCATTTCCTTTGTAGCTGTTGTTTTAGTATTTGCTAAATATATGTTCTTGTCCTCTTTTTTATTGTGATGTATAGATTTATCATTTTTCTTTGAGGTTACCCTGTGATTTATAATTTTCTCCCCAGATTTAGAACAGTCCAATCTATCTTGCAACTCTCTTGACTTCCTTACCATTTAGAAGTTCTGTAACTACATAGTATTTTCTCTCATTTTGGTTTGTAGTTGTACTCATTTGCCAATTGATGTCTCTAGTTCCCTGTTTACAATCTTGTAAGCTTACTTTCCTATGGGTACATCCATAGCTATATTGGATTCTGGGTTATGTCATCTTGTGTATTAATGGTCTGTTGTTTGCTATTATTGGTTCTCTTTTCAAAGGACTCCCTTTAGTATCTTTTGTAAGGTTTTGTAAGGTTGGTCTGGTTTTAACAAATTCTCTTAATTTCTGGTTATCTGGAAATGTCCTAATTTCACCATCGTATTTGAGGGACAATTTTGCTGGGTATATAATTCTTGATTGGAAATTTTTCTCCTTCAGGGTTTTATATATACCATCTCATTGCCTTCTCACTTGCTTGGTTTCTGCTGAGAAATCGAGCTTATTCTTATTGTTGTCCTTTGTCAATAACTTTTCATCTTTCCCATGCTGCTTTCAGGATTTTTTTCTTTGTCTTTGATTTTGAAGAGTTTGATGATGATATGTTTTGGTGATTTTCTTTTGGGGTCTATACTGTTTGGGGTTCATTGGACTTCCTGAGTGGATATATTCTCATCTTTCATCACAGCAGGGAAGTTCTTTTCCAACAAATCTTGGACAATTTTCTCAGTGGTTTTCTTTTTCTCTTCCTGTTCTGGAATTCTGATTACACACAGGTTACTCCTTTTGATGGTATCTCACATGAACCTTAGCCTTTCTTCATTTTGCTTTGATCTTTTTTTCTGATCGATCCCTTTCCAAAGAAGTATTCAGGGATTTGTCTTCAATCTCATTAATTTTGTCTTCCATTGATTCAATTCTACTCCTTTGCCCTTTCAGTGTCTTATCTATTTCTGAAAATAGAAATCTTCTGGATTTCTATCTGCAGATTTTGTGTCATTTCTAATTTTTAATTTATTTTGTCATTTTTTTCTTATATTTTCTCCAAAATTGTTCTGGGGTTTTCTTTAATTTTGTCAGTGTTTTCCTTGATCTGTCTCTGAATCTTTTGAAGATAATATAATTCTTTTGAATACCTTATCAGGGAATTCTAGTGCTGCACCTTCCTCAGGGATGTGTTTGGGTCTGTGCCCTGCTCTCTTATTTCTACCACTTCATGTTGCTTCTTTGTGTAGATTCTGATGGTCTGTTGTCTCTGAGACATTGTAACATTGTTGTATTTAGATCTCTGTTAACTGTTTGCGAAGAGCAGCTAAGGGTGAGTCAGGCTCTTCTTGGTGGTCATTTATCATTGGCCAGTTGGTTGAGAAGGAAGTGGTGACTCCCATTCAGTAAGTGGAGGTACAGGTGTAGTTGTGTCATATGGGCATGGCTGCTGTCTCCCACTCAGTTAGCCAAAAACAACAATCGTATAACCATCAAAAAAGTAAAAGCACATGGACAAAAAACACACCACATAAACACACAGGAACAATAAAAAAAAAAAAAAGAAAAAAAGAAAAAAAACAACCCTACCATATCTGGGGAGAGGGTAATAAGAGAAAAAAGGTAGAGTAGGAGAATAATGAAAAAAGAAATGTGAAAAATTCAAAAAGAAAAGAAATGGAGTTAACCATGAGAAAGAAAAAAAAGGGAACCAGGAACAGAGAAGAGAGAAAAAGCTGAAAACTAGAACCTTTCCAGTCACTGGCATCCAGAATGTCCTTGTGGTTCCTGTCAAGTGGAGTCTATTCTTGAGTCCCTGCAATCTGGGATAATGCTGTTGCTTTAAATATCCAAAATGGTCAAATCACTTGTAAACATTCAAAAGGGCTGCACCCTCTGGACAGGCAAAAGTCCACAGCTCAGCCTGCCTTCTTCTTCTCTGCTTCCCCTTTTATTCACCAGCCACCAATGCAGTTGTCCATGCATCCTCTGGCTAGCAGGGCTGATTTTTAGGTTAATTCTTAGGTCTTAACACAATTTGGCACTATCCAAGCTGTCCATGCTGTCAGGATAGCCACCAGACCACAGGTCCATATATCTCCTTTTTTGGTGTTTTCATGCAAGTTCTTCTACTAGTTGGAGTTTAGTCCACTTCTGTATCCTTCCCTTCAATGCTCAGGGCTCCAGGATTATATTCTGCATCTGTGTTAATTGGTTCCCCTTTTCTTTGTTGAAGGGGGTCTCTGCAGTCTGTCTGCCTATTCCACCATCTTACTGGAACTCACTACCTGCCACGTGGTAGTGTCAGGTTGCCTCATCTAACTTCAGGAGCAAGGAGAATAATTACCATCCACATCAGCCAAAGCCTATGCTTCTGATGTGGAGGTCAGAGAAACCACCACTCTCTAACGTATTTACTAATTCTAATACCAGCTGTACCTCCCACTATACTCTCTGTTTCTCAGCTGGGTTTGATAATTCATTGTAATGCCTCAATTTCTTATCTTTAAAGATATGACAACAATTGCACCACAGTACTATATGTATGTAAGTTTTTTCACCACATATATTTTCACTTTCACATGAGATTATTGCTTTTTTTTTTTTCTTTTCTTGAGAAGTCAGGCTATAGTTTGGAAATAATTTGGAAACTAATTCTTACAAATGGATGATGAATTTCTGTAGAATATCTTGCCTTTTACTTATACAAATTGAGAGAAACACATGAAATAATATACTTTTTTTTCTCTTTCCAGGCAATTACTCTCTTAACTGAATTAATTAGGGAAAACTTCAGGAACAGCAGATTGAAGCAGTGCCTTTTACCAACCCTGGGGGAGCTGATCTATCTAGTAGCCACGCAGGTGAGACTGTCTAATTAACTGTGTTGCTGTTTAACATGTTCTGACATATCCTGACTGACAAGTGTTAATAAGCTATAAAAGTTTTTTGACTTTGCCCCTTAGAGCATGCCTAAGGAACTTAGGAGAAATTTTACCTCTGGGGGAGAGAGTTACTCAGTGTCTCTCTGTCTCTCTTTTTCTTCGTGCCACTCTATCTGTCTGTCTTTCTTCCTCTTTACTTTACTCCCTCCCTCCTAATGCCCCATTTCCTCTAAACCCATTGATTTAGGTGATTCCAACTCATAGCAACCCTATAGGATGGGATAGAAATGTCACAGAGGATTTCCAAGGCTATAAATATTTACGGAAGCAAACTACCTCATCGTTCTAGCATGGAGCGGCTGGTGGGTTTGAACTGCTTACCTTTTGGTTAGCCGCTGAATGCTTTAACCACAGCACCACCATAACTCCTTCATTTCCTTTAAAGTACAGAAAATTCTCAGGACTTGTTTTAAAACCCATGGACAGAATGGCCTCAAAGTACCCCCTAGGTTGCAACCATCTTTGATTTTCTCAAACAAGAGGAAGCCATTGGTCCTCTCAGTATAAAAGTCCCATATCAGTGTGAAACACTACTTTGGATGAATATATCTTTGAATTTGGCCATGGGAATTTGTGGCTGCAGTATGATTACTTATGTCTAAAGGAAAAAAGTGGAAGTTGGCAATGAATTCATAGGGGAAAACTTAATATTTTATTAAACGTGTTTTCTTTCAAAGAATATTATTGAATTGATATTGGTAAATTATGGTTTATTTGATTCCATATTGAGAAATTTAAATAAATACAATTTATAAGTTAATCAAAAGGTTTCTCATTGAATTTCTTTGTTTTCTGTTCTAGAACTTGCTTACTAAATGTTATTTAACCTCAATAACTTTAATATCAAAATAAAACTAACTTTATGGGTGCTTATCATTTTAAGGCAACTGCCATAATTATTATTAAGCATAAGTATTTTAAGTAACATAGCTGTATAATTAGCATTAATAATTGGTATAGCAGTTGTCATCTCCTTGTTCTTTTTCATGTATGTCTTGGCTGTTTCTGGCCAATTTCATGTCAGAATAAATTTTACAGTCAACTTGTCCAATTTTTCAAAATATCCTGCTTAAATTTTTTTTTTTTGACTTTTGATTAATGCATATCAGTTTGGGAAGAACTGATGTTTTATGATTTTGTGTCTTTAAATATGTGTTCAGAATTACACAGAATATTATCAATTGGGAAAGTATTGATATCTTTATAAATTGTGTCCTCCAAAGAATGAAAAATGATGTTACTCTCTATATATTTGTTTTATAAGTTATTCTATTCATAAAAGTTTTACATTCATCTTTGATTGAATTTATTCTTAGGTAATTTAAATTTAGAAGCGACAACACATTCATTCACTAGGCTAGAAAACTAGGAGGTAAAGAGAAGTGTACAAAGAAAAGTCTCTTTCCTATTTTTTCTTCCATTTGCCTACTTCTTCCCATAAGTAACTACTATAATGTCTATTTTATTTATATTTATAGTTTGTTTTTTTGCCGATAAGCAAATAGAAAATCTTACTTTGCTTCATTTTGTAGAACAAGTCATAACTTCCTTTTTTTCACATCATAGTACCTTGAATAGATTTCTTAATCAGTATGTATTGCTTCTTCCCTCCCACTCTCCCTTCCTCCCTTTTTTCACTCCCTCCCTTTTTTCCTTTTCTTTTCTTGTAATGGCACTTTCCTTTGTTTGATGTACTATTGTGTGCCATCTTTTGAGAATGTTTTCCTTGCATTTCCTTGGAAGTGAGACTAGAGAATTTCTTTTTCACCACTATCTGGGGTCCTCCTCTCAAGGCCTTGATATCAGGGCTTAAGTTTTCCATATTTTGCAGGCTTTCAGGGTAAAACCAAGCTCAGTTTTACCCCTCTGTGCTTACATTTGCCTGATACTTGGTTTAGTTACTCTTTATTTTTTTCCTTCTGTAGCTTCATTGAAATTGGGAGCTCTGGTGGCATAGTGCCTAAGGCATTTGATTGCTAACCAGAGGGCTGGCAGTTCAAACCCACCAGCCACTGCCTTGGAAGGAAGGTTGGGGAATCTACTTCTGTAGTGATTCCCCTTTGTAAACCCAAGGAGGGGTCGCTATGGGTTGGATCTGACTCAATGGCAGTGAGTTTTTTTTTTTTTTTTTTTGGCTTAATTAAAATTTAATTGACATATAATGAATTACACATATTTAAAGATTATTGCAGTGTAGTAAATTATTTAGTATGGCTTTTCTACCCATAAGTCATTGTAAACTCAGTGGTGGAATGAGCAACTGAGGAGCTCCTGATTGTAAATATTATCCACCGGGTTATTTCTGTTGGGCGTGGCATAACACAATGTTATGGGAGGCTCTCTCTCAGGTGCTTAGAGTTCTGATGCTATGATTGGCTAGTTTGGCCACTCTGCCAAGCTCAAAAGGAGGCCTCCTAGAGGCAGAACTCTCTCTGACTGCTGGTTGAGGAAGATGTGCTGCTGAAAGGGACACGGGCTCCTGAGACATGCGTTGCTGGGAAAGAGACGCAAGAGACATGCATTGCTGAGTGAGACACCGAGGGACCAGCACTGCTGGGAAAGAGACTGTGAGAGACTGTTGGCTGAGGGATGGTGGGCTGGGAGAGAGACTGAACATTTTTCCTGAACTTGAATTGTAGCTTGTGGTGCTTCCCTAATAAACCCCATAATCTGTGAGCTCTTGTGTGTCCACTGCAGTGAATTATCGAACCCAGGAGAGAGGTGGTGGGTGCTTTGGGAGGAACGGTTGGTGAAAGAGCTGGAGGGAGGCAGCATGTCTGGCCTTATAGGAGTAGCCCTTGGGTTATTGATGGTGGCTCTGTCTTCCTCTCGTGGGATTAGAGGAGGTCAGAACATGTGGCCTCCTTGTCCTTTTTATAATTACCATTTGATACATTTTTATATATGTATACACCTGTGGCACCATAATCATCAAGATAATGAACATATCCATCACCTCCAGAAATTTCCTCAGTCCCCTTTGTAATCTTTCCCTCTTACCTCTCCGGCTCTCCTTGCAACCACTGATATGCTTTTTATTATTATAAATTAGTTTTCATTTTCCAGGATATTGTGTAAATGGAATCATATAGTACATATTATTTATGAAAGTAGATCTAAACAATAATTTGTTGTTGTGTGATTAATTGGACTTAAACTAGACTGTGTCATAAAAAGGGATGCTTCTGTGGCTGTGACATTTGACCCTATCTTGTGATAGCAGACCAGTAAAGGAAGTTATATTATTGAATCTACAAAAATAACTTCTCATGAATTGGGATTTTTTGCGAATTTGTCACTTTGAATATATGTAACCTTTAAAATCTCAGGTCAGTACTGATCTTGTAGGACTGACCGGAAATGATGCTATATACTATATATATCAGAATCTCCCACACAAACTTTGATCCTGTCCTGTTTGCTTTTTAGAAACACTTTAAGGTTTAAGACTTGAAGAAAGAAGAACACATTGTAATTCTATGGAGGATATTATGAGGCAACACTATATGTTCAGGCATTTTTTTCTTTTGACAAGGATAAAAGTTTAAGTGTTCTTATTTTGTCCATTGCATAATCATCTCCCAAGTGAACTGTTAGGAGAACACTTGAAAGGTCTCCTTAATTCCCTCTCGTCTGCATTAAAGTCCATTTTCCAGACACAAGACAGAATGAACCTGTTTAAGCACATGGGAGACCGACAGTGTTATTACTCTGCTTTGAACCTTCTGATGTTGCTTCTCTCACTCAGAGCTACAGCTGTGGTCCCTTACTTGCCATTTAGGTCCTTGTTAACTGGTTCACCAACTCCTATACCTGTCTGCCATCTTTCACTACCTTCTTGCTCATGTAGTCCTTTCACCTACAGTTGCCTCAGCCACAAGTTCCTTGAGCCCACCATGTGATGCCCCTGCCTCAACACCACTCACTGATATTCCTTTTATTTGCAACATTGTCCCCTCTCCCTCCCACTCAAAAGGGTTCCTTCAGAGAGGCTTTCCCTGGCTACAGATGGAGCCACTGGGTCTACAGCCTTCCTCTAACCCTGTCCTGATATGTTTTTCTTTATCCAAAAAAAAAAAACCAAAAAAATTTTTTTTTGTATGTGTGTTTTTCTGTGTTGCACCCATTATTACATTGATTCAGGTATGTAATTTGTTTGCTTCATTTTTTTTTTAATGTTTTACCACGCTAAAAGCACTATTAGGATAGAAAATTTTTCTGTCTCATTCCTGGCTACTGATTAAAAGAGTTCATGGCACATAACCAAACCAAACCCACTGCCATTGAGTCGATTCTGATGCATAGAGACCCTATAGGACAGAGTAGAACTAACCCACAGGGTTTCTAAGGCTGTAAATTTTTACGGAAGCAGATTGCCTCATCTTTGTTGGATTTGAACCACCAGTCTTTTGGTTAGCAGCCAAATACTTTAACCACTATGCCACCAGAACTCCTCTTCTGGCACATAGTAGGTAATTTTTCCATGCATGAATGATTTTTCCAAGGAACTGCATCAAAGCTAGTGAGACAGAAGGAAGAGAGCAAGGAGGCAGAGCTGGAGAGGTTGGCAGGAATGTGATCATGCAGGGGCCTTGTTGACCAAGTTAGATGTCTTGATCTTGGTCCTACAAGCAAAGGGAAGGCATTAAAGAGTTTCAAGCAGGTTGATGATGTAATGTAATTTTATGAGAAAAAGACAACTTCATTTAAATGTGGAGAATAGAGTGGAAAATGTAAGAGAGGATTATGAGAACCTAAATGAGAGTACGCAAAATAGGAACAAAATTAGGAGAGGAAAGTGGGTATTTCAAGAAGGAGAAAGTCAACAGTGCTGTGACTGTAGCTTGCAGTTCAAGAAAGAGGACTAAGAGGAGTGCATTGGATTTAATGACATGAAAGTCATTGATGATTTCATAGGGCTATATTATGTATGTATGTGTTTTACCTGGAGTGATGGAGGCAGAAGTCAGATTAGAATGAGTTGAGGGCTGAGTGTGAGGCCAGAAAATCAAGAAAGTCCCTGGAAAGAGAAGTTTTGTTATTAAAGGGAGAGGAAGAGCAATGGGGTGAAGTGGCATATTTTTTTTTAAAGTGGGGACGTTGAACCAATGAAAATGGTGACAGAAAGAATGCAGTAGACACACACACACATACACACACACACACAACCAAACTCACTGCGATTGAGTTGATTTCGACTCACAATGACCCCTCCTTGGGTTTCTGAGGTGGTATCTCTAGGGAAGTAGATTGCCCAGTCTTCCTTCCTAGGAGTGGCTGGTGGGTTTGAACCACCAGCCTTCTGGTTAGCAGTCAAATGCCTTAGGCACTATGCCACCAGAACTCCTAGATACCTTTAGGAGGTATAAGAGATTGTCCATAACCTAATGGCCTATGGAAGTCAGGACTGGAGCTGGATCCTGAAACCAAATGGAAGAATGGAGGAACCTGTCCTGTTACAACCACTAGGCAGAGGTAGCAGATGTCATCAGGTATAGGTAAGTTTGTAGTTCCTCTGTGATGACTCCCATTGTGTTTGAGAAGGAGAAAAGTTGGTGAGGTTGTGGGGGAGAGTCACAGGCTTGAAACAGTTCTTTTGGAGAGTGACTTAATGAGAGAAACATAATAGACCTGGACAGAGATGTTGAAGTTCCCCTGAGGTTGCAGATCATGTCAGTCAGTAATGGATGCTCTGAGTTCTGTGGCTTCACCTTCTGTAAGAGCCCAGCTGCCTGAGTGACTGGCTTCCTCCAAGGTTGGGCTTTCCCTGCACAAGGATAAAGGGAAGGTACTTCAGATTTTGGCAGGAGTGAGATGTACCAGGGATTGTAAAAGCTGGGAAGGGAGGCTAAGTCATGGACTTGGGGAAAAAAGAGGGGTTGAAAGACCAGAAGGGTCAGGGGACCAGGGTTCAGTGAATAGTAAAGGAAGGTTATAATTGAGGTAGTTGAACAAGTGGACTGGGAGGAAAACAGGCTGTATTTGGAAGTTAATTTGGGTGTTAGATTAGTGATTGCACCATTGCCCCCTCTCCCTTCCATTCAAAGTGGTTCCTTCAGAGAGGCTTTCCAAAATTTTTGATTTTTGAATTGAAGCAGTACCTGATGATGAAAATGTTCAGGGTATAACAACATGGAATTTTATGATTAGGGTACAGTTGTAAGGAGTCATAATTCTCATCATTAACAACCTGAGCTACGTAGATGATACAACTTTGCTTGCTGAAAGTGAGGATGACTTGAGGCACTTAACTGATGAAGGTTGAAGAATACAGTCTGCAGTATGGATTACGTCTCAATATAAAGAAAACAAAAATCCTCACAACTGGACCAATGAGCAGCATCACAATAAATGGAGAGAAGATTGAGGTTGTCAAAGAATTCACGTTGCTTGGTTCTACAATCGATGCCAATGGAAGCAGCAGTCAGGACATTTGATGACATGTAGCATTGGGAAGGTCAACCGCGAAGGAACTGTTTCAAGTTCTGAGGAGCAAGGATGTCTCCTTGAGGACTAAGGTGTGCCTGACACAAGCCATGATATTTTCAATCACCTCGTATACATGTGAGAGCTGGACAGTGAATAAGGAAGAATGAAGAAGAGTTGATGCTTTTGAGTTGTGGTGCTGGCGAAGAATGCTGAAAGTACCATGGACTACTAAAAGAACTAACAGATCTGTCCTGGAGGAAGCGCACCCGAAATGCTCCTTGGAAGCGAGAATGGCCAGACTTCTTCTCACCTACTTTGGCCATGTTGTCAGAAGGGACCATTCCCTGGAGAAGGATATCCATGCTTGGTAAGGTACGAAAGAGGGGAAGGCTTTCAATGAGATGGATTGACACGGTGACTGCGATGATGGGCTCAAGTATAGCAGGGATGATGGAGCTGGCGCGGGATCGGGCAGTGTTTTGTTCTGCTGTGCATGGGGTCACTATGAGTCGGAAACAACTCGATAGCACCTAACAACAATTCTCATCATGGGTATAAAATACTTTTGCATCAGTGATGTGTCATTTTGGACAACGTTAAAGAAATATTTTCCCCAATAAAACCTAATTTCTTTTGTGTTGAAAAGAGTAATTTTTTTCCCCACCTTTCTGTGTGATGCCTGACTTATTTTGTGATTTTATTCAGTAGGTTGCAGGAGTATTCATATACTGATTACATGGATTTGGTTAATCTTGTGAGAGAATTATTGCTTATGTCATTAAAATTCATCTATCTGCTAACCACATTTGCTTATTTTTATTTAGCGCATTGTCTTGATAGGTAACATACTGCCTTTTACTTGTATTATCCTGAGATACTGCTCAAAGCTGTGTCTTCTGTGCTTTCAAATCATTCTAGATAATGTAATATTTTTAGGTAGGGATATCTATATTATCACCTACAATTATCAATAAAGTGGTTTCTCTGTCCATCAGATCATATTGTCATTTCTCAATTATTCTTATCTGGCCTGTGATGAGAAGATCTTAGCATCATGTATAGTATAATGAGAAGCAGAAGAAGTATCTTGTCTGTACTATGCAGTAAAAGACTCATGATCAGGTCATAATTGACATGTAGTACTTTAAATAGAATATTAAGTTTAGATAGTTTGTATTTTTGACGCTGTGTCTTTTGGTTGAACGGGTTAATATTTTCTGTGTTGTTAGCTTCACTGCTTTTCCTTCCACTTCATTTTAGGAAGAAAAAAAAAAGAACCCTAGAGAATGCTGGGCTGTTCCCTTGACTGCATACACAGTGCTAATGAGGTGCCTTCGGGAAGGGGTAAGGCCTCTTTGTTGTCCTCTGTAGACACCCTCAATTGTAATAACCCTTCAGGCACTCTGTGAGGAGTGTAGCCTGCAGCAGTGCAGGGGCTTGTCAACCAAGCATTGCTCCTGAATTTAAATAATCCCGACAAGCCATAGTGAGAAAATGACCTACACTAGAGCAAGAGTAAAAATGAACGCTAGTTTAAATCTCTTGCTTTTTGAAAGGTAATAGCAAATATAAACAACATAGTTAGCTTTTCACAGGGTATTTTTAATTAGCTCCCCTGTTAAATTATTGATAAACCAGCGTCAGAAGAAGGTGTGTGCAGAGATTTTGCCTTTATCAGAGTAAACTGCTGCAAGCCTCAAGCATACCATGATTATCTTGTCAGGTTGCCATTGTGAGGTTCTGGAGAAGAGGAACTTCCACTAGTATCCATTAATTTTAATATTAAGTAGTATTTATTATATGATGTGATTTTTCAATTTATTCGCCTCATTTCTCATGCGATTGTTAAGGGCTGAAAATCAGCCACTTTCCAACCAACCAACTCAAATATATGTAGCTCCTACATGTAACTATGTAAAGGATTTAGTAAATGACCTAAAAAGTTGGCATTTTTCTGTGTACTTTAGACCATTTGACATTGTTTCACCCAAGGCAAAGCCATAGGCTAAAAACTTCCCTTAAGGAATGAAAAAAATATATCAAGATAAACATCTTCCTTTGTGTTCGTTTCTTCCTGTGTTATATGGTAATGGAATAATGCTGCCAAGGTAGAAAAGCCTCCAAGGCTTTCCCTAGTGATCCAGAGATGGGGTTTGAATACTTCCTAGCCTGTAGGTTGAATGCTTAGCCAGTTGTCATTATGGGATGTGAATGAAGGAAGTAAAACATGTTTTATCAGTAATATATGATAATTAAGTCATTTTTACTTTGAGGTAAAAGACATGTTTAGGTCCTTCAAGCAAGGCACATTTGGCACAGAGATGAACCAGGTGAAATTCCTTTTCTTTCACAGCTCTTACCTGTTGTGGGAGATAAGGCAAAATACAGTGAAACTTGCCAAAGGTGGAAACCTGTCAGAGATGGAAAACTCAAATATTTTCCACTGATAGTGATACAAAAGTGGTAAGACTGTATTCTGTCAAAGGTGGAAAATATGTGAGACCAAAGAAAACAAGGCAGTCCCATCAAGTTCTGGCTGTGATGGGGTTCAGTGTACAGAGTGGAATATATCAAGTACATACATGCAAAAGAACAGAACATAGAAACTCAAAGGAGAAAAAAGTTTTCTTGTGATCCCCTTTAAGAGTGTAAAAGACATTTGAAAAACTTTTTATCTTTAATTTTTAAACCATAAGCCGTTGTGTAGTAAAAGGTGATTAATTCTAATCCCCAAGGCTCTTCTCTTCTATTCAGTATTTTTAACAGTGCACATACATTTTATATACTCTTCTATATTTAATGTGCATTTCACTATATAACAATCCACATTCAGAAATACTAGTAGGTGCTGGAAAAATTTGATTATGTGGAAAAAATTTAAGAAGTACTAAAAGATGAAAGACTTCAAAATTATTTCACTTTGAATGACGTCCTAAATACATTAGACAAATTTGCCATTTAAAGGACTGCTATAAATAAATTCTTTTAAAGGACATAAATACTATTTTTAAGAGGAATAATCATCTCCTAGGATTTCAGCCTAGAAAAGCCTATGGGGCATTTCTCCTCTGTCACATGGGGTAGTTATTAGTCAAAAATTGACTTGACAGCACCTAACAACGACAACAATCATCCTCCAATTTATCATTTTCCAAGGGACAATGTTAATATATATGCTACAAAAGCACATATGTCCTTATGTTACCTGCTTTTCAAGAGTGTAATATAAAATGTTTGTAAATTATACTGTTTTTACCTTTCTTCCTTTTAATGAAAACTACATAAAATTTGAGATACATACCAAGACACTAAAAAACAACTATATTACTAAAATATAAAACTACAGCACTATTTTATTATTATTAGCAATAATAATTAATAATAATAGTACATGACTATCAAACATTTTTCACACTACATGTCCAGTGACAACCACTTGGTTTGGGAAAATACTGGCTAGGATTTGCATCTATATTCATGAGGGCTATTGATCTGTAGATATCCTTTCTGATGCTGTGTTTTCAAGGTTTTGGAATCAGGGCTGTGCTTGCTTCATAGAATGAATTTGGGAGTATTCTGTCACTTTCTTTGTTCTGGAATACATTGAGTCATATAGGTGTCAGCTCGTCTCTGAATGTTTGATAGAATTCTTCAGGGAAACCATCTGGGCCAGGATTTTTTTTTTCTGTTGGTAGTATTTTTATAACTTGTTTAGTTTCTTCTTTTGTTATGGTCTGTTAAAACTTTCTATTCAGTCTGTGTTACTTTAGATAAGTAGGCGTATCTCAAAATATGTCCATTTCTTACAAGTTTTCATTTTTGTTGGAGTATAGTCCTTCATAGTATCCTGATATTAACCTTTCTGTTTTGTTGATTCTATTATGACATTCCTTATTTCTTATTCATGTTGTTTTCATCTTCTTCTTCTTTATCTTTGTTAAATTTGCCAGTAGTTTGTTGATTTTATTAATCTTTTCAAAGAATCAACTTGTAGTCTTGTTAATTTTTTCTTTGGTCTATTTTCTATTTTATTTAATTCTGCTCAGATCTTTATTATTTCTTTTCTTCTGGTGACTGCAGGATTTTTTTTTGTGGTTGTTGCTCTTTTTTCTAATTGTTGGAGATGTTGGGTTAAGGTGTTTATTTTGGCTCTTCTTTTTTGATATGTGCATTTATTGCTATAAATCGCCTTGTGATCACCACTCTTGCTGTGTTCCAAAGATTTTGGTATCTTGTGTTTTCATTCTCCTTTGAGTCAAGACATTTTCTAATTTCCTTTTTCATTTCTTCTGTTAGCCAGTAGTTTTCAAGGAGAGTGCTATTCAGTTTCCATGTATTTGTTCTTTTTCTGTTGATCTCTGATTTCATAGCATTGTGATCTGAGAAGATGTTTTGCAGTATTGCAGTGTTTTTGAGTTTATTAAGGCTTGCTTTGTGGCCTAACATATGGTCTATCCTGGAGAATGTTCCATGTGCACTGGAAAAGAATGTATATTTTGCTATTGTTGGGTCAAGTGCTCTGTAGACGTCTATAAGTTCAAGTTGATTGACTGTATTGTTTAGTTCTTCTGCATCTTTGTTGAGTTTCTATTTAATTGTTCTATATTTCATTGAAAGTGGTATATTAAACTCTCCTGCCATTACTGTAGGAGCTCTGGTAGCATAGTGGCTAAAGCACTTGACTGCTAACCAGAAGGCAGGAGGTTCAAACCCACCAGCCACTCCTCGGAAGGAAGGTTGGGCAATCCTACTTCCGTAGTGATGCTGCCTCGGAAACCCAAGGAGGGGTCGCTATGAGTCGGGGCCGACTCGATGGCACATAACAACAACACAACAACTATTACTGTAGGAGCTCTGGTTGCGTAGGCACTTGACTGCTGACCAGAGGGCTGGTGGTTCACACCCACCAGCCATTCCTCAGAAAGAAGGTTGGGCAATCTACTTCTATAGGAATACCACGTTGGAAACCCAAGGAGGGGTTGCTATTGGGGCCGACTTGACGGCACATAACAACAACAACAACAACAACAACAACAACCATTACTGTGGAATCATCTTTTTGTCTTTTTTAGTTCTGTTAAAGTCTGATTTATGTATTTTGGGGCTCTTTCGTTGGATATGTAAATATTTGTTACAGTTACATCTTCTTGTTCAATTGATCCTTTAATCATTATATAATGTCTTCCTTGTCTCCTATGGTGGTTTGTCACTCCTGTTCTTTTTTTTTTTCCATTTGCATGATATCTTTCTGCAACCTTTCATTTTTCATCTATTTTTGTCTTTGTGTCTGTGAGTCTCTTACAGACAGCACATTGATGGGTCATGGTTTCTTATCCAGTCTGCAACCCTCCATCTCTTGAGTTGTGCATTTATTTAGTCCCTTTACATTCAGAGTAATTATTGACAAGTATGAATTTATTGCTGTCATTTTGTTATGTGTTTTTTCATGGTGTTGATGATTTCTTTGTTCTATATAATTTTCTGTGATGAGCTCCTTTTGTTTATGATTTTTTTTTAAAATTTTCTTCATTGTTGTTTTAGTATTTGATAAATATTTGTGCCTCTCTCCTTTTTTATTTTGATGTAAAGATTTATTAATTTTCTTTGAGGTTACCTTTTATTTATTACTTTCTTCCCAAGTTTAGCACAATCTGTTCTATCTCTGTATTCTATCTCTAAATCTCTATATTGTCTTGATTTCCTCTCCATTTGGAAATTCTGTACCTACACTATGTATTCCTTCTTTTTTGTTTGTAGTTGTCCTCGTTTATCAGTTGATGTCTCTGGTTTCCTGTTTATAGTCCTCACCCCATGATGGGGCTGCTAGAAGTGTGGGTGTGGTTGGGTTGTGTGGACATGATTGTTGTCTCCTACCCAGTTAGACAAAATAAGGCAAAAAAATGAAAATAAATAAATAAATAAAAAGAGCACACAAAATGCAAACCACATGAACAAACAGCAACAATCACATAAAAAAGAAAGGGCAATAAATGAAAATGTATAAGAAAAAAAGAGACAAAAGAAGGATAAAGATAAAAGGAGAGAAAAAAACAACTAACAAAACATCATGGTATCTTTCTAGTAATCAGCCTCCACTGTGGTTGCCCATGCTGTCCTCAGCAGGTGGAACCCATTCTTAAGTTGCTGCTGCGATTGGAACACCACTTACATATATTTAAAATGGCCACCCCATTGGCAAATATTTAAAATGGCTGTGCTGTCAAGACAGTTGCTTGCCCATAACTCTGTTTGTCTACTTATTCCCTGTTTTATGTTCTAGTCATCAGCTACCAGTGCGATTGCCCATGGAGTCCTCTGCAAGCATAGCCAATTCTTAGGTTGTT